TCTGCTAACGCAAGCATGAAACATACAATTTCCAGACTTGGAAAGCCGGCTCCCCCGAAGCTGCACAAGATACTACCTTTTAAATTTTTCTTTTTAATTTTAATTTTAAATTGCTTTTGCTCAAGGCTGTTATCAGAACATCAGGCGTGCTTGACCCGCAGACAGAACTCCTGCAGGACTCCGGGGGTGACCCACTCACACTGTGCCCGCAGCAATGGGGCACTGCAGGAAAATAAAAGCCAAAACCACGTAAGGGCTGATTCACGGGCCAAGTGGCCACAAATACCTACACAGCTATTTATTTTTTTTTTCTTTCCCCAGCGTGGAAGTAATTGTTAATGTTGCATCATCAAGAAAAAGCATGTGCAACTTTTTTTGCAGTGAGATGCAACACTGTAAGGGAGTCCCTGCTGAGTAGATCATTGCCCTCTGCCTATGTCCCACGCCTAGTGAGTTAAAAACCAAGATCTGAAGTCCTTTGACAAAAACAATCCTATTGTACATTTGAATTACAGCACTGTAGTCAGAAAGAGTGGATGCTGCTGGATCAAACATCCAGGCTTTAAATCCTTCCCATCTTTACTTGCCAGCGCTGCAGCGAGGCATGTGATATATGCATCTGAACTGTAAAAAGGTTCCAATTTTCTTAATTCTATATAGAATGATAAACACCCAGCTTATTCTTCTGCCAGTCCTGAATGCTCCCCCGTGCCGTATTTATAGCATAGGGAAAACTCTAATCTGAAAATTTCCTGTTTATTCAGTCCATTCCTGGGCTAAAAATGTCTGGGCTTTTTAAGTCACAAAGATGAAACCTGCACTGTGTGCTGATTTTGTGAATAACCATTGAAACAGCTAGCAGAGAAACTTCAAGAGGGGAAGAAGGAGGAAAATTGAGTAATCATTTTTATTAGGTGTCCGTTATGGTGCCACCAAGTCCATCTGTAAACCACGTCCTCAGGTGCCACATCCATGTTTCTTTTAACTACCTCCAGCGATGGTGACTCCACCACTGCCCGGGGCAGCTTGTTCCAGTGCCTGACAACCCTTTCTGTGGAGAAGCCTTCCCTAAAATCCAATCTAAACCTCCCTGGCACAACCTGAGGCTATTTCCCTTTGTCCCATCGATGGTTACCGTGAGAAGCGGCAGATCCGCACCTGGCTGCAGCCTCCCTTCAGGCCGTCCTGGAGCGCCATAAGCTCCCCCCGAGCCCCCTTTTCCCCAGCCTGAGCCCTGCCATGCCCCTCAGCGCTGTGCGAGTGGGTTGTTCTTTTTCAAGAACTGTTGTAAACCCCGGGCTGTTCCTGGGGCCTCTCCACGGCGTTCCCTTAACTGCGGTCCCACCCCGCTCCCTTCCCGGGCCGCAGGCCGGGGGCGGTGCGCGCTCCGCGCCATGGCGGGCGCTGCGGCCCGGGGCCCGCTGCCCTGCCTGCCGCTGCCCTGCCTGCTGCTGCTGCTGCTGCTGCTGCTGCCGGCCGCCAGCGCCGAGCCCGAGCTGCGCTTCAGGCCGCCGGCCGAGGCCCCCGTGCGGCTCTTCACCGAGCCCGAGCTGGCCAGATACGACGGGCACCAGGTAAGGCCGGGCCGCCGCCGTGAGCCGAGGCCGGGCCGGGCCCGCACGTTGCCGCCTGCCTCGGGGCTCCGAGCGCTGGAGCCGCCGCCGAGCTCGGGTTTCTCGTGATCTGCTGCCGTGCCGCCCCGCCATCCTTCCTGCCCTGTCGTTCTGGGCAGCTCTTGCTTCTCGGGCAGCGGTTTGTGGGAGGTTTGCCGTGGTTTGTGAGAGGTTTGCGGTACTCGTGCACTCCAACCCCTGCCCCGGTGCCGCTGGCAGCTGCCCGCGCTGATGCTGCACACACCGTTAGGTAATTGGGTGCCATGTGCCATTCTGCTCGCTCCCTGCTTGGCAAGGTGCTCCTGCCAGAGAATTTCAGATTACCATGAGCTGGAGCCAAAGTTCATTTTCTCTCAGTAATTTATTAACCATATACTTAGACTTTAAAAAAAATAAATCCAAAAACAACAGCAACCCCTCCAAGATTATCAAAATAACAAGACAGTTTTAACTTTAGGAGTGTTTAGCTTCCTGTGGTTCAGAAGGCTCAGCAGAACTCCAGACTAAAATTGATAAAGTCCTGTATGGATACACATCTGCTTCTCTCTTGAAACACTTGCTGTCTGACCTTCTCAGAGTCTTCTCTAGATACTTTGAAGAGACTATCCAATGTCTGACTAAAATTACATCTTATGTATAAAACACAAAGCAGAAGCACTGGCTTATTAAGTAAAACAGATGTCAGCAGATCAGATTTACATGTGTTTATGTATTTATCTTTGTTTCTTAATCAAATAATGCTGTTGGCCACACACCCTTTTATTTTGGGCAACATCCATCTGCATTAGGAATAGAAAGATGCAGTTGACAATCTTCAAGCAGACTAGTGTGCAGACAAGAGATGACTTCCAAAGGAATATGTCTTCTATGCTTGTTGCTGTTTAGATTAAAAAGATTCTCATTGCTTATGGTTGAACCCTCAAAGGATATTAGGGGCAGTTTAAAGCACCAGCACGTGATGTCAAGAGAGGGAACGTGTATGGTGGTAAAACAAGAGTAAACATACAACACACAATTTGTGTCCTAAGAGCTTGTGTATTTCACAGTTGAAATAAACTGCTTTTTGCCTGTGCTTAAGTGCTGAGGATGTATTGATGGCTTTCCCTCCAGGAAGGACAGCCCATCTACCTGGCAGTGAAGGGAGTAGTGTTTGATGTCACCTCTGGAAAAGGTTGGTGTGCTTCTCCTCTGCTGTCTACTTTGCTTTCATGTTATTATTCAGACATTTGGTTTTAAACATTCCCAGTGCATTGGAAGCCTGCAGTTCAATTGCAACAAAAAGATACACTTTTTCTTCTTCTAAAAAACTTGATTTTCCTCCTCTGACAGCTCCCCTACTAAGGTTTTGTCTAGAACTTAACACTGCTCTGAGATCACAACATGCAGACAGACAAGCCAGCCCTGTCCAGGTAGCTTGGGCCCTGCTAATGAAAACTGGCAGAACTTCCCAGCTCCCTGAGTCCTTGCCAGATGTGGGGTCAGGGCACATGGCAGCTGCAGCATTTCACTGCCCTGGGTACAGGAGCTGAGCAGATCAAACCTAGTGTGGATGTACCCACTGCACAACATCAACACTGCTGCAGCTGCATCTTCTCCTTCTGTGCTGGTGCTCACACCCATTGCTCTTTGTGCCCTCCCTAAGAACTGCAAATGTTTTAATTTGAGCTCCTGCTACTTAATCCAGATTTGCTATAAAAAGTTTGAAGGGACCATGAGGATTTTAGACACTTGTCTGGGTGTCATCATAAGTAAACCAATGGCTTGTTACTGTGTTTGTACTGACCTTGTCTGGGCATACACGTTGGGTTGGCTGATCTCAAATCCTAAATTACACAGAGCTTGCGAATTCTGGGGTCCACAAACATCTCATCAGAATGTAAAGCACAATTCCCTAAATAATAGGTAAATTTTAAGAATGCAGTATAGGAAGTTCAACAGCTGTACAAGCCCAACCAGTAGGAAATCCAAAGGCAGTTCTGAAAAGAAGAGTTTTAGACTTGAATTGTTGCTTTCAGTTCATTGACATTCAGTTCACAGTCTGGTGAAGGGTAGAGGCTGAACATACCCTGTACATTGTCAGATCATCACTGGATTTTTTTTTTTTTAATCTGACAGAATTTTATGGAAAAGGAGCCCCATACAATGCTTTGGCTGGAAAAGACTCAACAAGAGGAGTTGCAAAGATGTCTCTGGATCCAGCAGATCTTACACATGACACAGTAAGAAAATGGGCCATCAGTTTCATTCCACTTTTCAAATTTTTATTATTATGCAAGATGATGAATGATGGTTTTAAATTGTTTGTATTTATATAACTTGACTTACATATTTAAAATCAAAATGCATTAGTTCTCTTTAGAGACATAAAACATATTTACTGGTCATGAAAGGTGCTAACAGCCTTCAAGAGGAAAGTTTTTCATTTCTGGAATCAATACAACTTCTGTAAGCATATAAAAGGGAATTACCTGCTATTTAAAAAGAGGCTCACAAAGACAGTAAATCCCTTTCTTTTGGTTTGGTGTATCCTGATGTGGCAGTGAATGCTAGCTCTGGTGATGGGTTGTTGCTTGTCTGACCTGAATACCTTAAAGTTTTGTCAAGGCTGAATTTGAATGGAAAGAACACAATTACAGGCTGTGCTATCAATTTTGTTCATCATGCTCTGCTGTGTAAACCCAAAAGCTGACCCTGAGGTTTACAGTAATCATTAAAAAAACCCCAAACATGTAAATATCTCTATTTTTATTTCTTTGAGGCAGGACTTTGATTTCCCTGTTTCCTTTAGACAGGGCTCACAGAGGAGGAGCTGAAGTCCCTGGATGACATCTTCAATAATGTTTATAAAGCCAAATATCCAATTGTTGGCTATACCTCTCGGCGAATTCTGAATGAGGATGGCAGCCCCAACCTGGACTTTAAACCTGAAGATCAGCCACATTTCAGCATTAAAGATGAGTTTTGAGGAACATTTTTGTACCTAGAGAATGCCTGGGCAGAGGCACAGCAGAATATTAAATTAATTCCCTGTGCTGTGGAGTTCATTACTACAATTAACTACCATGAGTCAGTTCTCTGCTCAGAAAATAAGTGTGTGTGTACACACAGCATAGAGGAAACAAACAGATCTGTGGCATACACCTGGGCTGTTTGCTGGGAATTACAGGAATTATTTAACCTGCAAGTTCTTTCTGCCAGGATTTCTCTGTTAAGAAGTGTATAATGTAAAATTACATTCCTTAGAAGAAGAAAGCTTTTAATAATTGAAATATGACTGTTTTTTTTGTAAATCCCAAGTTGTTTCCCACTCCTTGGAAAAGTGTAAATGAATTATTTGGACAAGTTAGCATCAATTCTCTGTGCTTCATATGAGTGTAGGTATCACAAGTGCAGACAGGTGCAATACATTATATACAGGCTTACATTTTCAAAAGCATTATGGAGTTTAATATTTGATGGGTTTGAGAATACTGGATATAAAGCCACTTGGTCTCCTCAAATGCAGTTACTGTGGAGTATTTCTGCAAATCCTACAGCTGTAAACTGAGAAAAATAAATCTTTTTCCCCCCATGAGGACTACTGTGCCATTTAAAGTAAGACTGTTTTGCTGGGTTTGGATAAATGACACTTTACTTTTTAAAAATAATTATCAAAGATGTCATCTGTATTAGATTATGATGATTTCCTTCTATCTTTCTCTGACAAAAAGAGGATATCATAGCCCACTGTTTGCCACATACTCTTACAGCACAGGTTTATTATAGCAGCTCAGTGTCCTGTGAACATTGTGAGCATTTTATATTAACAGTTTTCAGCTCTCATTTTTTATGTCTCTCAGTTTTTCTTTGTTCTTACCCTGGCATCACCACTGCTGTTTTAATGAAGAGTGCAGTGCCATGTTCCTCTTCCTCTTAACCTGATACAAAAGTGCAGATCCTGCAGTATGAGAGCAAACCCCCCTGATGGCATTTCCCTGGCAGCCTTCCAGCAGCAAGAGGACTGTAAAAGCCTGAGCTGTACAAAGTGCTGCCAACCCCTGACTTTCACTAACTTAAGTAGAATGTGAATTGTCCCATGTGTGGATTTCTCTGTCACTGTCACCGTTTTGATTGATATGGGAAAAGCTAAGCAGCTGCTCCTGACTCTGTATTAATAATACAGATAAAATAAAAATATGATTCTGTATGGTTCTATTTCTTAAGCATTTGGGTAACTTTCTATGAAGGGAAGACTTTATTAGATGATTCTCCACCTTCTAGCATGCAGGGGACAGCTGCCTGTCAGTTGAATAACTAGAAAAGCTGTTTTTATGTATTTACCCATTCTTTCACAATCTTACACATTTTATTCTCGATTTGTTTTGTTTCTCACCATTAGACCACTTCATTTGCTGGAGGGACTCCATGGGCCCTCCCACTGTTGGATGGTGCTCTGAGCAGAAAAAATAAATCAGCATCTAAGAAATGACTATTGCTTCTGGTAATTATTATTTTGTGTTATTATTTATTATTAGTATTGCTGCTGCTCTTTTGATTAGAGACCAAGAGCAGCTGGGAGTTTGCTCCTTGATGATACCTGTTGTCTTTGTGGGAGTGCATATGGGTTTGGTGGTTATGGTTGTAGGCTGTTTGTCAACATTTCACAAATAATTTTTCAGTACCTATTAGTTTTTTTTGCCCTTGTCCTCCTTTCCTTGCATGCATCCTGATGGGGCAGCTTCAGTAGTTGTGCTGCTGTGATTACTGTAGAAGTCCTTGCTTCATCTGGCATCATGATAATCAGCTGCTTTTAAAAAAAAAAAAAACCTTTGTAGCTCAACTGCAGCTCATCACCACTGAGTGGCTCAGTGTTCCTGTTCTCCCTATGAAATCACCTTTGCTGATGTCAAAGCAGGTAACTCAGCTTCTGCTTGTACTGAATTTCAGGTTCTTTTCAACGAGGAAGTGCTCCTGTTGCAACAGGAAATGATGATATAAAAACCCCTCTTGTATTGCAAGATCCTCAAAAATTCAGCCTGCTTCCACTCTTGTCTGTGAGGGAGATGCTTTAATCCTTCCTTTCTGTTATGAAAGACAAGGTTATCACAACTGAATGCACTTTAGAAGGCAAAACATTTCCTTTTTGGTTTTATTTCCATCTGGAAACTGAAGGTTTCACATTTAGTCACTTCCTAGGCTATTTCACTTGGGGTTTCCACTCAACAGAAGTGTTACAACAATAAGGCTTTAAGTGGACACATCCTTGACACGTTTTCATTGCTGCTTTTTCAAAATGCATTCAGAGTAGCACAGTATTTCTTTTAGTGTTAATTCAACAACACTACTTTATGTCTAAGATTGCTTTACTTGCCAATGGCCTGAAAAGGATTTTGCTTAAAAGCCAACTGTCAGCTATGGCTGCTTTGTTCAGGCAGCTGCATTTCCCTGACCTCTGTATTATTCCAGTAAAACAGGTGCCCTCATGATCTATAAATTGCACTTAAAACAAGCAAGCTGTGCAAAGCCCTGTTGTAGCCCTCCTACTCCACACCTCCTTTGGAGAGTCTAGAATTTCTTTTCAATTTGCTTGCTGCTTCCAGATAGCATTGCAAATGTCATTATTTTTACTGTGTACTTCCCACATCCATCTTGCTAACTTAAGTCTAAGGTTTTATAAATTGCTGCACCGAGAATTACCTTCCTTTAGTATTTAATAAGAGTTTATTCTTCAGAATGTTAAGAATTATCAGATGGGTTCACTTATCTAGATGATGCATAATCTGAGTTGGTGTTTCCCAGCTGGCACTCTTTTCCATAGTCCCTCACTTTGACCCTAACACATTTGTGACAGGACAAATTCTATCATCCCCACTTTAAGGACTTCTCTTATTAACAACTGAAGCATTAGGACTTCAAGTGTAAGCAACAAAAATTCAGTAAAGGGTTTATGAAATGCAAATCAAAGTATTCTCTTTACTTTTTTGCAGTTGTAGAAAGTGCTGTGAAGAGAAATCCTCCTAAGAACGTGTTAGTTACTGCATCCTAATCTAACCAAGACCACCTGCTGGAATGCAGGGGCTCTGAATCCTGAAGATTGAGCAGCTGAGGTTTTTCCAAGAATTTAGGATAAGACAAAGTTATTTCTTTTATATCCATAATATGTATATGGACACCACTTTTTTTTTTGTAGCCTTTTGCCAAAATATGAGTCTTAAATCAGGTTTTGTATTAGTTTTCTTCTGCAGAAAATGCAGAAGATCCTCTGTGATCCTTGTGATCCTTTGAAAACTGCAGCATAGACTGCTAACTTTGTGGTCTGCTGGTACCACTGACTCTGAATTCATCACAACATCAGTGTAGGAACCACAGTGGGATCACAGTTCAGACTGCACTTGTCAGACCTGGCAGACTTCCATGTTTAAGTAAAAATTAAAAGAGGATGCTTATCTGTTTAAGGATTGTGCTCTGGAATGGAGGAAGCCTCAAAACAGTTTGTAAATCACCTCCTTTCACTGTTGCTTTAAAACCACTATCAGGCAATACATTCAACTAATGATAATAGTTTCAAAAGGTATTAAATTGCTGTAGTTTTCCCTTGTGAGACTTCCAAGAACCTGCAGAACAATACAAAATGGTTTAGATGACATTCACATATGTATTCTGTCTCTTATAGATGAATATATTTATCTGAAATGGGCTCAATGTAATTTGCATTTGCTCAAGAGAAAATGGATGAGATGTGGAGACATCCACTTAGGAAGCCCAATGCTAATTTTTCAGCTAATCTGGTTGAACTGAAAGGAAAAAAAGCGAAAAAAGCATCTGCCTACTTTTGTGAGTGAAAAAGCTGCCATTCAGAAGGATTCAGCTGCACATCAGGAAGAAGTGCAGAGCAGCTCTGATTAGTATTTGCATATTTTCAGATGAACACTGGATGTCTTGAAATCCCAGAACTGTTCTAAGTGATGACAATCACACACTGTTACCCATCATCCATTTATTCCTTTGCCCAATGTTTTCCTCTCCATATGGGAAAAAAATACAAACCATGCAATTTATATGACAAATCTGTGCCCCATAAGTAATATTCATACAAGTGCACATGAATCTATAATCTGAAAGCTATTTACATGGTATACAGAATGGCAGTTTTCAAACAAGCTAGTACTTGTCTGTGAATGCTTTGAAGCAAACAAAAAACACTAAACTTTTAGATTTGTAGCACCTCACTCAGAGCTCTGTCTCTGAGTGCCAGTTCAGACAATTATAATGTACAGTGTGTCTGTCTCCTTTGGTAGAAAAGTCAGTGCTGTATCAAAAGGTGATTTTTTCCCCTCTGTAGTCAGTCAGAGTGTCAAAGACCTGGGTGTATGATAGGTGGGCATCACTGCTAGAAATACTCTAATAGGCACGATTTTGACTTTGGCATGTCCAAAATAACCCTAACCCAGAAAAGAAAACAGGTGGGAAATGAGAATTTATCTTAGTGTGCCACTGGGGCAATTGATACTGGCGAGGTAGATGTGGCAGAGCAGGTCTGATAGCAGTGCTTCCTATTTTTCCTTCTGTCAAATATGGCCAAAGATAACAATGTAAACTTGCACCCTTATCCATCTGTTGGGCTTTACATAACACCTACTGGTTTAGCTTTTTTCTTTCTGTTCAGTAGAAAGTGTGAGTCCTGATTTACTTGTTTACAAAACTTACACTTGAATCTTGGCTTGGGTAATCTGTTGATGAGAAATCCAAACTAAGAGAAACAGAGATGAATGTTCTGTGAAAAATAGAGCTTGTCCACCTGGATGAGCTGCAGAGCCACAGGAAGTACTCTTGAATAAACAATTTATTTTCATGTTTCCTGTAAGTTATTTGTAGCTCTTGCCATCAGAAATTTTGTACTGTTGATGAATGTTCAGCTTACCTTGTTCTGCAGTACTTTATCATTCTGACATGAGATATTACCTCCTGAGAAGTGAAAAGTTTAGAAGAAATTGGGTGCAGGCCATCTTGGAGATAAGCCAGCCAAGAGAAATCAAAATATGACCTAATTTTCCCTCTACTTAAAGAAACCTGTCTGAAAAATGAAAAGAAATCAATGTCCCAGGGTCTATATTTTACCTTCCAGATTTTGCTGAAAGTTTTCCCATACTGTGCAAAGGCAGCAGATAAAGCCTTGAAAAAGATTTGAATTTAAACCCTTGCATTGTGAAAATTTTAATCCACTTCTGCTGGGGCTTTAAAGATTACAACAACTCAGATAGTGGCATACAAAGTGTCAAACACATGAACTGAATCAAGCCAGGCCTAAGAATTAGATGGTGACTGAAAACTTCCTCGTGCCTTGTTCTGTGCTGCTTTGCAGGATTCTAAAATCATTTGTGTTGGATACACAGAACTAGTTACCAAGCAAGCCACTGTCTGGAGGGTAACTTTATAGATTAAACTGATAGCTGGTTCAAAATAGCCATGGCAGATCAAGAGTATCCTAGCAAGGTTATTTGCCTTGTTGGGGGCTGTGGCTCCATAGCCTTTATTTTACACTGCAGATAAAAGCCCAGGTAAACTCAAAATTATTAATTACATTTATCCCTTTATTAATTTTCAAGTTTGAGCAAAACTCCTAAAAACTTTACTAACAAGAATAAATAAATGAACACAAAAAAAGCAAAGTGTTCATTCTGAACTGTGCAGCACACCCAAGTATACTGAAGGCAAAAGTGGTAATCAAAGGGATTCCATGTTTAACTTGAGATCACATTCTTAGGCAACATGTCTTGGAAGTGCATCAGGCATTTCAAGGATTTTTCCTTATTTATTGTTTCACCATGCTCTGTACTTTAAGATAGATGCAAGACTTTTTAAGAACAGGGCAGTAGGACCTTCAAGGCATTTCTGAAGTATTTTCATGTTACACAAGGACAAAGGTACACGTGCACCTGATAAACAGACAGATCCAGCAATTTAGACAAAGGCAGCAGCAATCTTATAGTCTTTTAAAATAGGTTATATTCCATGTATTTCTTAAACTGACCAGGTCACAAATAGCACCCTGACACAACAAAAATGATAGGCAGAAATGAGCTTGTAGGGAAAGCTGAAAAACTCTCAGTATTAATGTGTAAAGACCAACCTATCAATTTTAGTGAACTTGAAAGGACTTTAGGAACATGAGCTTAGCAGGGATGTTTGGTATGTGCTGAGACTCTGATTCTACACATTAAATATTATTATTGTCCCTAAATTCCTTCCCATTCCTCTGAGTAGTCTCCTTTGAGGTTAGCATGTCTTGCAGCTGGAAAGGTTTGTATGTGAAGCAGCAGCCTACCAGTGCAATATAATGATGTGAGGCAGAGCAAAGGAAGGGGAGTGAAACTCTACTTACAAGAAGCAGCAGGAGATTATAAATAAATCACAGGAGAGTGCTCTTTCAGAAGAGGTGAAACTTGCTGATGCTCTCAGAGATAAGGTTGAACTTGAGAACAGAAAAGTGTGACATCCTCTTGGATACAGTTCTGGGGAAATCAGCCTGAATTAAACAGCTCATACTGCTGGCTCCTTGCTTGACAACCTCAGTCTCATTTTCCAAAAATATGATGCCTTTGGTTTTGATACCTTGCAGGTGCCTGGATTCATGGAAAATCACACTGCTGCTGTTCAGACCATAACTTATCAGTTTTTCCCATTTTGTCTTTAAATGATGCCCATTGCAGTGTAAGAAAGAAGGCTGGAAGTGAAAGAAGGCTTTAGTCAGTGAAGAGGTGACCTGGGACACAGAAATGAGGGTGCAGTTCTCAGCTTCACCACAGCTTTGCCATCCTTAATGGCTCCCTAGCTGTTAAATAAGCTGGTGTTTTCCTCGAATTCCTTGTGACTTTTATCCCTGCTGTGACTTCCAGCCTCTTGAGGAAGGTAATGTTGGCTGGACATTTGGGCTGGTGGGACCCCAAGATGGCTATAGCATCAAGAATGCTTCTTTATGGAACTCTAACTTTACTTTCCTCACTCCAAAGAGGTATCACTTAGTGCTGCTTCATCTTTCAGCTGAAGTGAGTGAGGTTTATCCCATGCTGATCCAAGCAATATGTATTTACGGGAAGCTTTAATACAAAGGAAAATAGTTACAAACCATTCTTCTACAATACTGCAGCTCATTTTGTTGCAAGGCCTGTTGGAGACAGTGTGTGTAAATTCCTCATGGTACTGTGGAAACACAAGCTAGTCTAAGTCTTTGAAATGTATCTGGTTTATGTTACCCTTAAAAAAACCCTCCACTAGGCTGTTTGATTTAAGAACAACAGAAATAAATCAGGGTTTTTCCTGGTACTAGCTGAAAAATCATCTCACTGAATATGTTTTCTTCACAGCTTGGAATCTGCTGGCCACTTGTATTTTTCATTGTGCACACTGCTGGTAGACACATAATAATCACTGGGATACCTGCATTAATTATTTACAAAAATACTTTAAAAAATCTACTTTAAATATGTATATAAGAAATCTGTTTTCAATGAAATTGAAATAAAAGTAGACAGCTAGACCTGAGCGGTCTCCATGAGCTACTGGAAAGCACTTCTTGATTTATAGACAGAGTTTGGAAAGCCAAATAATTTCTGTAGAATGTTTATATAAAAGCATTACTCTCCATAACTTCCTCTAACTGGACTGTCCTTTCATTTTTATCTTTCTCCATCAACTCATTTAGACTGACTCATTGCACCTAAAAATAGTTTAGATTTACTTTATCTTTTTATACTCAGAATAACACCACAAAATGGATCATGCCAACATGCAGTTATCTGAGGAAACCTACTCTGTTATTTCAGCTCATTCCTTTTGGAGGATGGAAATCACTGAACCACATATTAAGTTGGTATAAATTTAAATAACCATGAAAGTCAAGGAAAGTATGTGCAAGGATCTGATCCCCACTTAAAAATGTGACAAAGATTACTGTCTAGGCCCTGCAGATGTCTCACCTTTAGATATCCTTTTAGAAACAGCATGACTGCAGTGCTTTTAATGGAATCATCCAGATCTCTGCTGGTGTTACTTCAAATAAATCCAGGCTTCTTGAATTTTCATTATTTTGCAATTTTTTCCATGTAGCAGGAGGTACAGGTAGCTTTACACCACAGAAGCCAAAGGAGGAAGTCTGTGAATAGCAAATTCTTATCCTGTCTGGGACAAATCACAAAACACAAACAAACTCAAATGCAGTTCATTATTCTGTGTCCTGTAATGTGTTTTTTTGTTTGTTTGTGGTTTTTTTGGTTTTATTTTTTTAGAGAAAAAACCCAAACCAAAGAAAAAAAAACAAACAAAAAAACCCAAACAAACAAACAAAAAAAAAAGTAGGACTATACCTGCACACCAGAGAGCTGGTATGAACTTTAACAGTACATGTGTACAAGGCTGATACACATTTGTTTACACATTTTCAGACAGCACTAAACCCAAAAAATATTACAAAGCACTTAATCCAAGGGAGAACAGCATAGATATAATTTATCTACTTCAGAAAACAGATTTTTGCCTCAAGCTGTAAATCATTAAGGCCTCTAACTTTCAACCAGTGCATCCCAAATTGGCTTTCTGGTTGATAAAAATCATCCTAATACACCCCAGCACTGTTTTCTTTCAAGAGAGCCTACAGAGAGCCAGCTGTCTGAGCTGCTTGTGCTGCTATGTAAGATTTGTGCATGAGTGTCTCTCTGGGAGTTTTGTTTTGGTTCTGTCATTTAATATTCATGACAATCACCATTAACCTGCCAGCTGAGCTGCCTTAGCATCCTGCCTCTAGACAAAGCCAAAAGTTTGATCTTAGCCCACACAGCTGCTGGCAGCCTCCATTTCCACATTACTTGTGGCTTGTATTTCTTATGTTTAAACTAACAGGATAAATTAAAAAAAAAAAACCAACCAGAAGAACTACTAGGGAAAAGATAAAGCAAGAGCATGTTCAGTACTCCTAGTTAGGGATGACATGGTTAAGCAATTATTCTGATCATTCCAGCCAATACACCAAGGTTTTGGGAAAGCTGACAATTCAAATGTGACCATTAATGATAAAATGTGATGGGGTAAAAGGGGAGGGGAGAAATCCTTGCTTTTAAGCAGCATGGAATAAACTGTACCACCTTAAAACTACTCACAGTCTACTGCATATCTGTCAAAACAATATATAAATATTGGGAGTAGTAAATTATTTCAGTGTCACTAAGAAAAAATATATTCATGCTAAAAGCAAATTCTGTAATTATGTTATTATTTTAATGTACATATTTTTGCATCTAGAATGTCAGAATAATCCAATGATGATTAACACTCTAGACAATTCAATTACACAGTTTGGAGAAGTCCAAGGGTTGCTAAGTTTCCCAATCAGGCAGAACAAAATACTCAGTAGGACTCCATCCTGCCAGTGTGGGGCAAACTGAAAAGCTCTTGGAGAATCAAGAAAACAAAAGAGTGACATGAGGACGAGAGAGAAATCAGTGATAAAAAGAGAGTAAGAGGAGAGAAGGACCCCCACAATCAAGGGAGAGAGAGGTAATGGAAATTTTGATGTTGACAGCCACAGCAGAGTAAGAGAAGTCCAGAGCCAGCCTCACTGTGTGGCTGGTTCCTGCCAGAACCAGCAGGAATATTTCAGACTGGTGAAGTGGGGAAAGAAGAAACACATGCTATAGAGTGAGCTGTTGGGAATGAAGTATTATTTTATATTGTACATAGTGATTAGGAGAAATAGATCTTGGATTATATTTCTCCCCTTAAGTTCCTGTGATGTTTTTTGTTCAGCTGCAGCTGGATGGACAGATGGAGGGAGGGAGAGGCTTACTTGCTGCCTGAAGGAGGAAAACTGTTTTTCTTATTTTACTCTACACCCTGCAAGACAGAATCAGGGATGGATTTGCAAAAAAAAAAAACAGCAGTTGAAGGAATTAAGAGCTCACTCTTCAATCAAGACTACAAGATCATCTTTGCTAGGGAAGCATACATTTATTTTCTAGAGGGAGCCAGTCCCCCAGGGGTGCTAACAGCAACAATGTTCTTCCTGAGTTAGCTTCCAAAAATAAAGGTTTCTATAAAAGGTCCTCCGTAAAACTTCTGATACCAGACTTCTGAAACTTGCCACAACTTTATGAATGTTTCTTCCCCACCAACAAAGAATTTAGGAAACGTGAGGAATGTGAAATCCAAATATCTAACATGATGAACAGCTATCCACACATAAAATGAAATTACCAGAACATGGAACAGTAAAGAAGAATAAAGCAAGGCACTCTTCATTTTTATCTAATGGGCATCACAATATTGTGAATTAAATCACAATTCACCAGCCCTTCCTGGCTGGAACCAGCTCAGCCCTCACAGGGACAGCCCCAGCAGTTGTCACCAGTCTCATGCAATAACCCAGCACTGCTCTCCCATGCAATAACCAGCACTGTTCAGCCTTGTTTCAGCCTCCTGCTGCCTCTGTAAAACCAGCTCTGCTGCCTGCAGGCTCTGCCTAAGGAGCTTTAAGGCTCTGCCAGCAGAAAGCCCATCAGGACTCAAAACCTGATCAAAGCCCAACAGGAAGAGCCCATTTCTAGCACATCTTGTCATAGTGCACATCCTTTCCCAAGCATGATTCTGTGAGCTGGGTGATGATGATGATGAGGTTTTCCTGCACCTTTAAGGAGAGGAAGGAGCTCTTATTCCAAGTATGACCATTATGAGGCATACACATATTATCCTACTTATGCAGAAGACAATTATTTTATATTTTTTGTAAAAGTTATCAATTAAGTGCCTTAACATCAGGAGGTGCAAAAATAAAGGAGAGGCATCTCCTACCACATACCAAATAGCAAATCAATAAAAAAAATTTTAAAAATTATTTCTCAGACTTCCTTCTGGAAGCCACTTTGTGGAAGATTTTCTCTTCTTCAAACCCAGCCCTAACTATGGCTTTATGACAATGTGGCAGAGCTGTTTCATTTCCAAAAAGCCAGTGTGTTCTCATTAGACTGCTTCTGATCTGCCTATAGCCACAAGCTACACTTAACATTGTTTATTTTCTGTAATTTGTGAGATTGTGTTTCACCCTCAAGTACATTTCATATAAGCATTGCTCTACCCACTGTTGATTCAAACCAGCTAAAGGAAGTAGGAACAGGACAGCACAGTAATAGGCAACAGGCCTGGAGAGAAAGTTTAGAGAAGACTGCAGTTCAGAGAGGAGCTGTTTCTGTGTAAATAGAAATCACCTACAGGCAATTTTCCTTGTTTCTAGGAGCCTATTAACTTTGATATTTATGAAACTCCTAAGCTGCCCCTTTGGAAACAATCATAGCAAATGCTCCTCCAGATGGTTATGAAGTATTTCTTTTTTCTTTAGAAGTAATGAAAAAAAATATTTAAGAAATGTATTCTTGTAAATATACCATCAAGGCAGCTAAAAGAGCATTGACTGTTTGCTTCACATTTCAGTCCACATTTTTCAGGAACTCTCTACCAGGAAACTTTATTAAAGGCAATAGTAAATTTAATTTAGAAAGACTGCTGTTTTCACTGTATTTTTCCCCCCAAATGTTTTCCTAGATGGATGCTTTCATAGCAGTACTTTTTTGTTTGTTTGTTTTGTTTCTATGCAATTGAAATCATAAACTAATTTTCAACTAGTGTACATCAATAGAAACACAGAACTCCAACTGAGCTATGCTGGGTTTCACTATTTTAAAATCCAGTTCCCCCTTTTCCCTAGACCACAGTAACCTCCTATATATTATCAACTTTCATGATTTCTATGCTGCTCAAAAACCTACAGATTTTACATTATTTAAAGCACCAAAAAAGCACCTCTCTGATTATGAACACAATTACATATCTACTTTTCTTCTTTCATAATTCTAGACTTAAATGGACACTTGCTTTTGGTTAAAAAAAAACAACTTTGGAACTTCAGAGCTCTGTACTTCACTGTACATCTCTGCACATTATTACCCCTTTCCTTCATTTCTCCTTATGAAGAATATTAAGACATCCACACTACTGGGAGTTTTGACAAATATTGTAGTAAGATACAGATGAGATAACTACTTATGAACCTGAAGCAACTGCTAAATCTAGCTAAAAGCTATAGAAACAAACCATATGTTTTGATAATGGTATTCTTGGTTTTGCAGGGGAAAAAACCAAACATCCCCCTCCCAAATTCAAAGTAAATATAATTTTCTAATTTCATGCTAATTTACATAATTAAATATCTCTCCAGGGGTTTCACTGTCAGTCTAAGATAACAACCATGCATTTTGGCTTTTGCACAGAATAACTACTTCTGATTATTGTTTTTATGCATAGTCAGGATTAGGCAAACATCTTTCTCAATACAACCCTGGAAAAGCTAAAATCCAGAAGGACTAAGGTCTATTAAATATTCATTATAGCAAAATGCAGATTTGTCTGCCCCAGACTTTAGGAACATGGTAATAAGCACCTCCCCTGTTTAATGTTTAGTTTAGAATGTTAAACAACACTTCTGATATTCCTTAAATTTCACTGTCTGAGTTAAGAGAGACCAGAATGTCTTTTCCTGCCTGTTTTCCTGAATGGCCTCAGAGAAACCCAGCAGAAAATGGAGTGGAATGAAACCAGTTTGTAGTCCCAGAGAAGAAAATGTGTTTGAAATGTAGCTGAAGATGCAGACAAATAGGTATTTGCCACCCAAGCATCAGCCACAAGACAAGCAAATTAAAAAAAATAAAAATCTGAGCCATGTGGATGCAAACACAAAAGTGTGTGTATGGAATTTTACCAAAATTGTGTGGTCCAGGCAGGAATGTTACAAATGTAGGTAAGAAAACACCCCAAACCACTGAAGCACTTTGTAGAATGATCCTGAATTACCAGAAAGAGAGGAAAAAAGAGAGCAAGGATTTTCTGAGTGCAGCCCTCAAAAAGAAGAGAGAGGCCTGGGCTACTGCCAAAAGAGCTGTTTCCTATTGTCTTTTTTTCTGCTACATTCAGGAAAACAGGACCTCAGCTTAATCCTACTTTGATTACAAAGAATGTACACAAAGATACATCACTTTGTATAAACATTTCTGACATAAATAAACTAGAAGAGATCAAATATTGGCCAACCGCTACAGTCAAAAGTTATGTAACTTCTTTCATATATACTGAGAAAAAATACACAGGGAAAAAAAACCCAGCAAAATCCTGAAATATATCAGACTTTTAGCACTCAGAATTTGTAATCTAGGTTGGTTTCCAACTTAAAGAATTGAAGATATAATATGAATATAAGGAAACATACACTTCACAATATACAGGTGAAACTTTCTGAAAATAGCATGGAGATATGAAGAATGCAAAAAATGATCTGGTCATCACATTACCTTGAAACTCTGAGCTCTCTATTACATTCCAACCCAACCCCAGATTCCCATATTAGCCTAGCTAGATCATTGAAACACAAATTCCCTGCTCTCAGCTTCATGGTCCTTCTGAAAGCACTGCCTGAGGCACCTCTCTGCTCTCCCCTGTGTTCCCATCCTGAGAGCTCTGTGATGGGCAGCAGTGGAGAATTCTTTGGCTCTACACAAGTCACACACCTTGAGGTTCTCTGCCTCCACACAGCTTCTGAAGAGTTTTGCTGCATACGTGTATTTATGATACCTCAAACAAACAAGGGCTGACAATGTGCCTGCAGAAAGATTTCCATTGCCTTTCCAACCCAACAGCTGAGCGACACAAAGAGCCTGGTCCTGTACCGCTGACTCACACAGGTAACCAAAATTCTCTCCTAATGCCCACTTTTTCAGAGCAGGATTTCATGGGAAGTTCTGAAGGTATGTCTCCCAATTTCTGTTGCAGAACAGAGTGCAGACTCTTCCAGAAAGGGGAAATCTAGTTCTTGTTTATATGAAGGTGCTCCCAGCTTAACTGATCTGGACCAGAACCCCCTGGCATGAAAAAAGAACATTTACCTGGAGAATTTCTTCCATCCAGCCTAACAGAGTACTTGCTCACATATGGTAACTGTTGAGAAAGGCATTATAAATTCTAACTTGTTTTTTCAAATAGTCTTCAGTTATTGGCAGCAGGTTTAGCAGAGTGGCACAGAGCAAACCTGAGAAGAACGGGTGGGGGAAAAAGTGCTCTTGTAATGGAAGAAAAACACATTTCTCATCTGTCAGTCTTGCTGACACCTCACCATCCCTTGCGCTGGGAGTTGTGTCACACCATCGCAGGCAGCTGGGCAGCAGCGAGCAGCTGCTCCCACACTGCCCCGTTTGTCTCTCCCAGCTGCAGGCTCGTCCCTCTGGAAGGCGCTCCTTGTGCAGGAAAGCGGAGCAAGAGGGACATCCAGCGGCTGCTCCATCTGTGTGCACTTCTGAACAGACCTGGAGACCAATTCCGCCACCTCCTGAGCCAGCTCGGGACCCTGCGTGCACAAGAAAACATCTATGAACCAACTACCGGACATACAGAAACAGAGGAAAAAAATATTCCAGTGGCTGAAGCGCTACTTTAATCTCTGCTGTTAATTTTTCATGCAACCTACAGACTTTCTCACTGTGTTCTCAAAAGTCCCACCCCTGGTTCTCCCTTCTTCTTTATTATTTTGTTTCTGGACTCCACATGTGAATTGGGATAGATCTATTCACTTCCATGAAGCTACAATGGAAGCTACAACCCAGTGCTTTGCCTATTCAGATGTATTTTTCACATCTACTATCTTCTCTTCAAATATTTTCTTTAACCTTAACTCTATTTGTACTACTTATTTTTATCTGCATAGTAAATAGAGCTCCCAGTTAATACTGATAAAAATTCCAGAGAATCAGTTGTAAATCCTAGTATTGAGTGGTTTGATCTTCATGTAAGAACAAGGAGAAACAAATTATTAACTTTACTAGTAGAAATACAGTATTTGTCATTAAAAATTCCATGTCTTTCCTGCCATATCTAAACTACTTCTTGTCCATAAAAATATGGCTTATTTGGAAATCTAAACCACAACAAAAGGGCTTATAAACTCAAAAATCTGAAGACAAGTTGAAGAAAAAGAAAGGAAACACAGGGTTAATTTTTTTTAGTAAATATTAGCAATATTAATTTAGAAGTAATTTATTTGGAAAAATCAACTTTGTTAAGTGGATGTTAAGTACATCATGATAAGTAATGTTACTACATGTTAAGTAATTTTTTTTTAAAAAGCTTGACTCTTACAAACTTGAAAGATCTATATGAAAAGAGTAGGAAATTGGTTAGGTCTTCCATATTTAGAGAAGAATTAAAGGCAGGCCATTGCTGACTTCATTGACAACAATGCAGGATGTGGACTTAGGAATACAGTTAAGGGATGTGTTTAAAGAGCTTTTAAAGAGAGAAGTACATCAGTCAATGGGGTAAAACCAGATAATATGATGGATTGAGCCGAAATTATCAAGATTTGATGCTTATGAAAAAAAGTGACATACCCTACAATTATTAGTAATTAATAGCAGAGAGGAGTCAATGCTGAAACCAGGACTGGTGATCTCTATCTGTCTCCTTTCCTCTCTTTAATTAATCTCTTCCTTCCTGTGTTCCCTTTCACCCCAGCCCTTTATCCCAAACCCACACCATGTGCTTATACAATAGGTCAGGGACCAACACACCAATGTCCCTGCCAAGTCTGTAGTTCACTAATAAAACTTTCTGGTTGTTTGCAGACCCTCTGGCTTTCGTGATTCCTTTTGCCCACGAGCATTTATGAATCTTGGGTGTTTTCTTACTCCTAAGGGGGGGGCACCACACTTAAGTGTATTGAAGAAGAGTGTATTGATGTCTGCGGTATTTTTGGGGTCCTCTGGATGAAGGGAGGAATGATGAATCTGACTCCATGTTCTTAGAAGGCTATTTTATTATTTTATGTTAGGACATTATATTAAAGAATGCTATACTAAAGAATAGAGAAAGGATACAGACAGAAAACCAAAAGATAATAAAGAAAAACTTGTGACTATCTCGAGAGCCTTGACACAGCTGGACAGTGATTGGTCATTAAGTAAAAACAATTCACATGTTGGATAAACAATCTCCAACCACATTCCAAAGCAGCAAAACACAGGAGAAGCAAATTAGATACTATTGTTTTCCTTTTTCTCTGAGGTTTCTCAGCTTCCCAGGAGAGAAATCCTGGGCCAGGGGATTTTCCAGAAAATATGAGGTGACAGAAGTCCAAGCAACTCTTCAGTGGCTCAAGCCCTGGATGTCAGGGGTTGTCCCAAGCCAAGCCAGCCCTGCAGGCAGCTCTCTGCTGGGGCACAGAAGGATATGCTTTGTGTGAGCAGTCACAGCCATGGCATTCCTGCCATTTCCTCCACAGCAAATCCATCACAGATGATTTTACAGCAACACACTGAGCTCCAGCCCATTTACATAAATCTGCCACCCCTCAAATCAGCTTTGATCAGTGCTAAATTTGCTGCCCAGTCGTTACACTCAAATGAACTAAAGTTGTCCATCTGCTGAGTGCTGAACAGTGCCTCTGAAAAGAGAGACAAAACCAGAGACACCTCATCTGTCTTTACTCATGAAAATCATTATGTCTTCCCTAATTGCTGTACTCTGAAGATATAAAGTCCCTCAGATTACTGCTCTGTTGCAGAAAAAAATGGCTGGAAACAAATACTTATGAACTTCTTTATTTCTACACTCACTCCTTTGGAGAGTGCAGGAAAAAGCATGTGTATTTTCTTCTATAGATAGAGTTATTAATTATCAGGAGGGTACATGGTAGGATTTTCACCTGTACATCACTACAGCTGCATGGATACCAGACAGTAATAAAATTATTACAACCTTCTAGTTATTGCAAAAGATTTTTTTAATTTAAAGGTTAAATCAACAATTGATTAATAATCAATTATTTAATCACTTGGGTCTAAACAAACTGAAAAACATATTCTTATATGCTTAAATGAAAAGTAAATATTTTTCCCTAGTTTTCTTTTGCTTTCCAGTAAGAATTTGCCCAAAAACTTCAAAATGGTGATCTATATTTGGCATGAGGACACCCTGATTTTGTACAAGTATTTAAAAAATGCAACTACTGAGACAGGATTCCATGAAAGAACTTGGGGCCTATTCTATTGGGAAATGCACTACAGTTTTTTACACCACATAATCTTTACACTGAGGACCTTGTTTCAATCAAACACTGTGATAAAGTAGCTGTTATTGTCCCTCCATTCTCCATACAGAAAAGGGCAGGAAAAAAGCTACATCCAAAGTTTCACCAACACTTTACAGTTGAAACAGAGCAATAACTCAGATCCCTTGACCTACTGTTTGGTACTTTTCCAATGAATTTTCCTCCATTTGACTTTAAGGAACAACAAAATGATTGCTGAGACAGCCAGCTAAACCTGAAACTTAATTATTTTAGCAGCAGTTTGGTTGAGTCCCATTCATCCTCCTAGGGCTGCTGAGAGGATAGCTAGGATAGTTAGGAGCATAGGGTTTAGTGGTGTCCCAGTACTTGTTTATCACAAAAAACCCTGAAACTGAATTATTTCAGCCAAGTCCCAGTTCAAATCAGCTTTGTTACAAAGTTCCTCTGTTAAGAACTTATCATAGAATCATATAATGGTTTGGGATGGAACCTTAGAGATCATCTAGTGCCAAATCCCATGTCCCAGGCAGGGATGCCACCCTGGTTACTCGGAGCCCCATCCAGCCTGGCTTTGAACACTTCCTGGGATGGAGCATCCACAGCTTCTCTGGGCAGCCTGTGCCAGTGCCTCACTAAAGAACTTTACCCTAATATCTATTCTAAGTCCCTCCTGTGTCAGTATAAAATTGTTCATCCTTGCCCGAATAAAAAGTTGCTCTCCCTGTTTTGTACCGGCTCCCTCTAAGCTCCTGAGGGCACAATGAGCTTTCCCTGGAGCCTTCCCTTCTCCAGGCTAAACAACCACATCTCTCTCAGCACAGGAAAGGTGCTCCAGCCCTCTGAGCATCTTTGCGGCTCTCTCTAGACTTTCTTCCTTAAGTTTTTGTTACTTTTAGCAATATTTCCAGAGGCGGAACAGCAGAACGGCCCTTCAAGGGCGACGTTAAGGCCTGAGCAGCGCTGAGGGCGGCGCTGAAGGCAATGCCTGCCTTGGAGCGAAGGCTGCGAGCACTTGGGTGACCACGAGAAGGCGGCAGAACACAACCCGGCAGGGAAACACGACCTCCGGCAGGGAAACACAACCTGCGGCCGGCAAACACACACAGCCTTCGGCAGGGAAACACACACAGCCTCCGGCAGGGAAACACAACCCGGCAGAACACAACCTTCGTCAGGGAAACGCTGCCGGCCGGGACACCCTGCGTGCAAGCCGGTGTGGGAATCCGGCAAACTGCAGGTAAAGGGCTTCCTGAAGGCAAGTGAGGAGCAGAGAACATCGACCTTTCCTGATACAAAATACTAGGCCCAGAAGGATTGCTGGTTTACTGGGACATCCACATAAACACAGCCACCGTGGCTGTGAGGGTGAGGGCCAGGCAGAGCTGCATTTGCTGCTTTGCCAGCCTGGGGTTACAGAGGAGTGACACTGCTGCGTGGCACAGACTCTAAAAACTCCCTCCTGGTCCTCTTCTCAGGCCAAAGCAGATGGGAAAACTACGTATCTGAGAACTGAATACAATCTGGAGAAAGGCTTCTGACAATTGACCAGTTAACAGCTCGTACTCAGAACTGAAGGCATCGATGAGTTTTTATAATAAAATTACAACAGAAGGGCATAATTACTGTTCTTTATTCTTTAATATCATTAGCTTCTCATTGTGTCACACGGCACAACCCTGATCCCACTTAGGTTTCTGAATCACGTCACTGAACTTGCAGGTTCCTCTTGATTTCTGACTCTGAGCCTGTTTCCCGAGATCCCAGGTGAAGGGAGCTTCACACATCCCAAGGTGTCCATCCCATCCCAGGTATCCATCTGCACTGCATAGGGACAGCACTGTGTGCTCCAGCAGCAACAGCACAGCAACAACTTGGGACTGCAAAAACAGAAGCGATATGGGTGAGTGTGGTCTCAGGTATGCAGTGCAAGATGCCTGCAGGCACACAGCAGGACTTGGTTGGATTCACATACCACAGAAACATGATATAGAAACACAAAAACAAGCAAATCAAGCTGCCAGAAAGAATGGTTAAAATGCAGATTACTGAAGCCAGGACAGCTATTTAACTGTTGCACACTCTGATGGAGAGCAGGCTGTGATTGTATTCCACAGCTACCATCACCTATATCTATTTTTCTGTGTAAGAAATGAGGAGGTGCACACTTAGTTGCAAGAACCCTAAGTAGAAAGCACTGGATAAAGAGCAAAATCTTCCTGTACTACACCTGGAAAAAGGAAGGTGAGGAACCTCACTACCAGAGGGAGCTAAAGTTCAGGGAA